AGGTTATGAGGAGAAAATGTCAAAAAAACAATAAAAATGAGCTGGCAACGTTGCATGAGTAATGCCAACCTTCCAACCTAGAGGTTAACAGCCTTGAGTTAAAAAAGCTTGGATAAACATCTTTCGACTTGACTAGGTAATTAATCCAGAGTTAGAGTTGACCCAGGGTCAGCAAACTCTGCGAGTTATCCCTTGATTGATAAACCAACCCTTAGAGTAAGAGAATTTCAGATGTTTTTGGTTGGCAACGGGGCGCGATGTTGCATGATTTATGTTAACATTTTTGAATAAAGAGTGTCGATTCGTTTCGTTATTTTTAGCTGTCAGTGGTCTTGACAATTGATTATTACCCGAATAAAAACAACACAGGAATAGGATTAGGTTATAATTCACAGTGTTCCAGAAGCTAGAAAAAATATTCCCACAAGCTAAAAAATGACTCAGAAGCTGTTTAAAACAACTTTTAGACTGCTTATAGTATTTTAAAGCCAAAATAACTAATTTGGAAATTAGGCAATCCAACGACCTGTCCAAATGGCGTCTGGTTAGCAAACAATAAACAAAAAACATATGTTTTTTTTTTGGCAGGATTAAGCCTAGTACTCATAACAGCGAAATTCGCTCTTTTTTGACAATGCTTCGACAATTTGACGTTTTATGCGTGAATCAAACGTCAAATTGTCGAAGCAATGTCAAAAAGAGCGAATTTCGCGGTTATGAGTACTAAGCTTTATCAATCTGACAATTTTCTGACATCGTTGACATGTTACAACCCGTATTCTAACCTCATTAAATTTCAAAATGCCGGCTGGTTGGCAAAAGTCACGTGGTTTGGATTCCCTAATTGCAGAAGCTAAATGAATAATTTTCAGTAAGTATTCCAAACACAAAACTTTTTGAAGCTTTTACAGTTTATCTATATGTAGATTAAAATTTTGAATTGTCTCGAGATAAAAATACACAATTTAGAGTAAAAATGGAAATACAAAATGAAGGGAAAAATTCAAAAGCCTGGAATGGAGAAATTATGGAATTTCATGCTTTTCTTTATTTTAATTTTTGCTCTATTCCAGGCTCTTGAGTTTTCTTCCTAATAAAAACATACAGAATATTAATTTACATTGGAAAAGAAAAATGGAGAAAACCTGGAATACAAAAATAATAATAATTCAATAGTCTGGAATCAAAGAAGTGTAAAATTAAAATTCTGAGTTGTCTCAAGGTAAAAATACACAATTTCAGAGTAAAAATAGCAATTTCCAACAATCTCAAGATCAAAATGGAGATATTAGGAAAAATCTCAAAAGGAAATAACGAACAATCTGAGGACAGAGCAATTCTGAGATAGGAGAAAATACAAAAAAAAGGGAGAAATTCAAAAGTCTGGAATGGAAAAATTACGGAATCTCATGCTTCTCTTTATCCCAATTTTTTTCTCTATTCCACGATCTTAAGTTTTCTTGGCATAAAAACATACAGAATATTAATTCACACTATAGAAAAAAAAAAATTAAGAAAACCTGGAATACAAAAAATAATAAGAACTTAAGATTCAATATTAAGAAAAATCTCAAAGGGAAAGCAATAAATAATGAAGAATCTAAGGACAAAGCAATTCTGAGAGAGGAGGAAACACAAAAAAAAAGGAAAAATTCAAAAACCTCAAATGGAAAAATTATGAAATTCCATGCTTCTTTTTATCCTTTTTTTTTTCTATTCCAGGCTCTTGAATTTTCTTCTTAATAGAAACATACAGAATATTAGTTTACATTGGAAGAGAAAAATAAAGAAAACCTGGAATACAAAAATAATAAAAATTCAAGAGCCTGGAATCGAAGAAGTGTAAAATTAAAATTCTGAATTGTCTCAAGGTAAAAATACACAATTTCAGAGTAAAAATAACATTTTCTGACAATCTCAAGATCAAAATGAAGATTGGGTTCAATATTGGGAAAAATCTCAAAGGGAAAGCAATAAATAACGAACAATCTGAGAACAGAGCAAATCTGAGACAGAAGGAAATACAAAAAAGAGGTAAAAATTCTAAAGCCTGAAATGGAAAAATTATGGAATTTCATACTTCTCTTTGTCCTAATTTTTTCTCTATTCCAGGCTCTTGAGTTTTTTTTCCCAATGAAAACTTACAGGATATCAATTATACTAGAAGAGAAAAATTAAGAAAACCTGGAATACAAAAATAATGAAAATTGAAGAGCCTGGAATCAAAGAAAGATAAAATTAGAGTTCTGAGTTGTCTCAAAGTAAAAATACAGAATTTCAGAGTGAAAATAGCAATTTCCAACAATCTCAAGATTAAAATGGAGATTGGGTTTGAGATATAAGAAAAATCTGAAAGTGAAAGCAATAAATAACGAACAATCTGAGGAAGAAATACAGAAAAAAGGGAAAAATTCAAAAGCCTGGAATGGATAAATTATAGAATTTCATGCTTCTCTTTATCCTAATTTTTTCTCTATTCCAGGCTCTTGAGTTTTCTTCTCAATAAAAACATACAGAATATTAATTCACACTAGAAGAAAAAAATGAAGAAAACCTGGAATACAAAAATAATAAAAATTTAAGAGCCTAAAATAGAAGAAGTGTAAAATTGGAGTTCTGAGTTGTTTCAAGATAAAAATACACAATTTCAGAGTAAAAATAACAATTTCCGACAATCTCAAGATCAAAATGAAGATTGGGTTCAATGTTAGGAAAAACTCAAAGAGAAAGCAAAATGAGATACCTACCTAATATGATATAGTTATGACATTCCGGATTCTGGAAAATTATAAGGAAAAAAAAAGCTGGGTTGACAACATTGTCTGTTCTTATTCTATGATATCATCCTAAATATAATGTAAATAACCTATATCAATTTACTAATAAAAATGTGATCTGGGAAAATGAAAAATTTTATAGACACGGTATGTCAAAATGAAACGAAGTTGATGCGGCAACATTGCAACATGCTAACGTCATAAATATTGATGACGTGCATCCATTATTTTATTAATTTTCCTATAATACTCACATATAATAATGATGGTTCACGGATATAATCAAAAAAAAATCACAGCACACAAGTGTATAAATAACGAAAATAATCACAAAACACAATGATAATATTATAACAAAAAAGAGACGCACATCTGTAGTGACGTCACAATGGTATCGGGCATCGGCGCTTGTCAATAATAGGCAAATCTCTTTACGCTTATAATCCTTGGCTTGTGTCAATAATAGGCAATCCTCTTTGCGCTTACAGTCCTTAGTTTGTGTCAATCTCTGTCTTTCTTTGTTTCTTTACGTTATATCTTTCTTCTCTCTCGAGTAACGAAATTTGCCCGTGACGCTTTTCTCAAATCCCTCTCCAGTTTCACTTCAATGAAAAGTCCCTCAATATAATTTTTTCGAAAAATCAATTTTCCCAAAATGACATCTACACACATTTTCCGTCACAATTTTGTTAACTTGAATTCGATCTTAACGTGATTGCAATGCAGCTGCAATAGTTTCGCAGCTGCACAGCTTCAAAGGTTTCTGACGTTGATTTTTTTCAACATCATAAGCGAGTCGAAAGAAACTTCAATTTTTTTGCTTAAATTTCAATCTGTCCTATATCCAGCTGCAAAACGTCAATCCAATGTTTTCAATGTAATTTTTTGGAAAAATGAATCTATCCAAAATGACATCTACACACATTTTCCCCAACAACTGTGTTAATTTAAATCCGATCTTAACGTGACTAGATTATAATTATAGCCAATTAAATTATCTTCAAACCTCTAATAGATAGTATCAATGCAGCTTCAATAGTTTCGCAGTTGCACAGCTTCAAAATCTTCTAACATTGATTCTATCAACATGAGCGAGTATAGAAAAATTTCAATTTTTGTTTTTCTCAAATTTCAATCTATTCTCTATTCATTTGCAAAGTTTTAATCCAATCCCTACAATATTTTCCTAAATAAATAATATATTACATACCGAGGTGGGAAGTGATTCATTACTGTCGAGAGATTATAGTTAGTTAACTGGGACGCGAAGCGTCGAAGATAACTATAATCTCGAAACAGGAATGAAACTTCCTACCGAGGTTTGTATACTATTATATTTACAACAATTGCATCTATCACAATTTTTCACTAAATACTAAATAAAAATTTAGAAAAATTGTTGAAAAGTTCTGACTTATCTAACAAAAAGGTTTGATATGCAGGACTTACTCTCCACCCCCCAGGAAAGTAAAATACAAAAAAGTGTCACTTTCAAACTTTTAAAAAGTCAGAAATGTCAACATTATGACCATGACGTATGTAATTGTTGTAAATAAAAAATAAAACGTGTTTCAATGTAACTTTTTGGAAAAATGAGTTTTTCCAAAATGACATCTACCTACACACATTTTCCTTCATAACTTTGTTAATTCCTATCCAATCCTAATGTAATTAGGATCAAATTAAGGCCAATTAAATTCTCTACAAATCCCCAACTATAAATTTCCATGCAGCTTCAAAAGTGCAGGGTGGTGAAAAAAAAAATGATTTCTTGAGTTTTGTAATTCAGAAATTTTGATTATTGAATTTCTACTCAATAAACAAGCAATCGTAGATAAATAAAAACATGAATTTAGTATAGGGGTGACACAAAACATTCCTAATATTTTCATACAAGCAGAATTTCTAAAATGTCCTAAGGTGGTACCAACTTTTGTAAGAAATTTACCTTTTTTTAAACTGTAGCTAACTACAGGTACGCAACTACACATTTTACTAAAATTTAAATTTCTTAGAAAAAGTTACCGACATTTATAAGATCGTCTTTCAAATTTTCCCATCATGTAACACCGGTTCATGGCGTGCATGTTAATTACAAAATATTTTAATAAGAATTCCCATCCTGCAGACGAGAAGCGATTGTTTTATTGTGCATCGATAAGGACGTGGTTGAATTGCATTTAAACAGGAAACGGTTTTATGAATATTATGTTGGAAGCAGTAAAAATTCTTTAATAAGGATCGTCTTCTCATTAAACTGTTCGAAAAACAAACCCTTATAACATTTAAGGAACTTTTGAGAGCCGAATCAAATTTGAGGTGGACATATACAAAATTAAACTGTAACTCAAGAAGATGTTTAATATAGTATCTAGATCAAGATGTACATTTATAAGAATCTGTAAATTTCATCATCCAATAAAACAAGGATCTATTGATCAACAAAAATAGAGAGGGTAGTAGGTAAGTTATATTAACCAATTGCCATGCTGATTTATAATCAATTATCTATTTTTTATATGCTTTAATGTGCTTACCCCTTTCCTCTACGACTTTTTAAATACATTGTTGTAAAGTAAACATCAAATTGCTATGTCGGCATTAAAGGTTTATTTAAGCCGATGCAGCCCCATAAGGAGCGTTCATTTGTTTTCTGGCTTTAGCCTGTAGCAATTTGATCCGAATATTTTCTTTTGTCACCTCTGTATTTTAATCAATAAAATAAATGTTTTTTAAAATACAAGTTTCTGAATCGAAAATATAATTGGCGCAGTCGGTAGGATGCTCAGAGTGCTTAAGTTTCGGGAGTTGTAACAGTCGTAATCCGTCGCGAAAATTTCAGAAGACTGAAGGAAGTTCGAAAAAGTGAATTCTTCGGAAAAGTGAAATTTGGATTATCAGTGCTGCTATTTAACGTTCCGGATACTGTCCACTTCGAATTGGTTAACTGAGTATAAGGAATAACAAGAAACAACGTATGAAGAAAGACTACTGTTATTAGCTTTGCCTAGTAAGTACAACCTTTCTCTTTATGCATTTTGTAATTGGTGTTCCATAGTTAAGATTTTTGGATTTTTGATCTTTTGTAATTTCTAATTTTTTGATTTACTGAAAAGACTTAAATTCAGATTTTTGTTCTTTTGCAATTCCAAAAAGGTTTGCTGAAAAGACTGAAATCAAAAATAAAGAGTAACAACGAATTTACAAAACCAAAGTAACAAATAGTTTTTAGAAAAAGCAACGCACAACACTGATTAATTAATTATAATTTTAATTTTAATAAAACTTTTTGATTTTGAATTTTTAAATTTTCAAAATATTTTCTTTTAACAATTCAAAGAAATATATATGTCAGATTCTGAAGAATAAATCGAGAATCTCTTGACTCAATTCAATTTAACTCATCTTTACAATTCTAATTCGAGAAGTAACAACCAAAATCAAAGACCAACCGTTACAATGAGTGAAAATTTAAAATCAATGGTACAACTTATAAAACCTTTCAGTGGCGAAAGCCAATATTTAGAATATTTCATAAGAAACATCAATGAATTTTATCAAACTTACTATACTGGTGAAAATGCTCAAAAGGAGTATGTGGTTACCGCCATAAAATCAAAATTAATAAATGACGCAGGAAATTTTCTTACGGCACGTCCTGATTTACAAACATGGACCGATATAAGAGAAGCATTAAGAATTAAGTATGGTGATCAATATTCTAGACAGAATTTGATACAAGAGCTTATGTATACCACTAAAACTAATAAAGAAACTATTATTGAGTATTTGGATAAACTAAAAGGTTTAGTACAAAGAATTACATCTAAAATCATGTGCGACCCGAATTTAACGGTAGTTGCAAATGTCTTAATTGAACAAAACGAAATTATTGCTATTCAAAATCTAGTTACTAATTCGCCAACCGAATTAAGAACAATTTTAATGGTTCAAAATCCACAAACGTTGGATGCAGCTAACAAATTTGTATTAAATTATCAACTAGCTGAAAACCACATGAAATTTAGTAGAGGACTTACTCATTCTACTAATCAAAATCAAAATCAAAATTTTTCAAATTTCAAAAATTAAAATACGCAATTTTGTTCACAACAAACCTATACTCAACAAAAACCTCAATATACACAAAAAACATCGTATGTACCACAGAAACCACAGTTTCCATTCCAACCTATTAATATACAACCTACAAAGGACTATGTACCAACAAAATTTCCTATTAGTTCAGGAACTTTTGGCAAAAACTACAATAATGCCTTTCGAAAAAACACTAATCAACAATTATTTTCGAAACCCACACCTATGTCTGGAGTTTCAGTGCAACCAAAGCACAAAATCAACATCAATACCCTTCCAAATACACAATCGAAGAAATTAATAATATCTTTGAAATTGAATTACCTGACCCTGACGAAAATTTTGAAAATGACGAATGTTCTGAAAATCAAAACTATTATGAAGAGACAAATTTTGAAGAAAATCAAGTCGCAACTGAAGACGAAAATTTTCAGTTACAAGCCTTGGATGCAATGAGGCAGCATTAACTTTAAATGCTTATCAAATCAACCAACTGCCTTTTATTCAAATAGACTATCCACCGTGTAAATTATTAATTGACACAGGAAGTCATGCCTCTTTAATAAGACCCTCAATCGCAGAAGAATATTTTTCAAATTCTATAATTAATTCACGAAATAAATTAACTACTTGCATGGGTACAAGAAAAACGTATGGAAAAATCAATATCTCAATTTTACAAGAATATAATATTCAAAACAACATTGAAATGATAATGTACAATTTCCATGACTATTTTGATGGAATTATTGGAATCAAAGCATTACAAGATAATAATTTAAATATAGATTTTTCTAATATGCTTCTTTCTAATAATAAAACAACAATTCCGTTTCAATATAGAACAGATTTCGAAAATCAAAATTTTGAGATTCCAAGCAACTCAATTCAAATATGTTATTTCAATACAAATATAGCTGATGGCATTGAAATACTTACACCACCGATAAAAAATGAAACGTATTATATACCATCGTCAATAGCTACAGTTATAAACGAGACAGTAGCTTTAGAAGTACATAATTTAATGAATAAGCCTATTATTGTCCCATATAACATAAACAACTTAGCGGAAATAAGTTTACCGTACGCTGACGAACAGTTTGAGATATTTAATATAGAGCAAATGACTTTATTAGAAAATGCTGAATATGCAAATGACCCTATTAAGTCGTTGCGTATTAATCATTTAAACTCAGAGGAATTTGATGCTTTAAAACACGTAATTAAATCATTTCCTAAAATTTTCCACAAGCCAAATGAAAAATTGACATTTACCAATCAAGTCAAACATGAGATTAAAACAACGGATGAAATACCAGTGCACACGAAAACGTATAGATACCCACATGTGCATAAACAAGAAGTAAATTCTCAAATAAAGAAAATGTTAGAAGATAACATAATCAGACCATCCTGTAGCCCTTGGTCATCCCCTGTGTGGATAGTACCTAAGAAAGAAGATGCCGCAGGCATACAAAAATGGAGAATGGTCGTTGATTATCGAAAGATAAACGAAAAAGCTATTGATGATAGATATCCATTACCTAATATTACGGATATATTAGACCGACTTGGTCGTAGTAATTATTTTACGACACTAGATCTAGCCTCTGACTTTCATCAAGTCGAGATGCATGAGAATTCGATACCCAAAACAGCATTTAATGTTGAAAATGGTCATTACGAATTTAACAGAATGCCCTTTGGTTTGAAAAACGCCCCAGCGACATTCCAGAGAGTGATGGATAATGTATTACTAGGATTACAGAATAGAATATGTCTAGTATACATGGATGATATAATAATTTTTTCCACTTCACTTCACGAACACGTGAAAAACTTAAAGAAAGTATTTGAGAGACTCGAGAAGTTTAATTTAAAAATACAATTAGACAAATCAGAATTCCTACACAAGACAGTCGAATTCTTAGGACATGTAATTACACCAAATGGAATAAAACCGAATCGAAAAAAGATAATGGCAATAAAAAAAATCCCAATACCAAAGACGGTGAAGGAAATAAAATCATTTTTAGGATTAGTAGGTTATTACCGAAAATTCCTAAAGAATTTTGCCAAATTGACCAAACCAATGACATCTTGTTTGAAAAAAGACAAAAAAAATAATACACAATGCAGAATTTCTAAATAGCTTTGAAACTTGTAAAAATGTATTAATAAATGACCCAATATTACAACATCCTGACTTTAAGAAAACTTTCTTATTGACAACCGATGCATCAAACTATGCAATTGGAGCCGTTTTATCTCAAGTTCCTGTCGGAGCTGATCTTCCCATTGCATACGCATCAAGAACTTTAAACCCAGCTGAATGTAATTATTCGACGATTGAAAAAGAACTTTTAGCAATTGTATGGGCAACAAAATATTTTCGACCTTATTTTTTTGGTAGAAAATTCACAATCTTGTCAGATCACAAACCTCTTCAATAGCTATTTAATGTTAAAGAACCAAGTTCTAAACTAGTCAGATGGCGACTAAAACTATCTGAATTTGATTATGAGATCAAATACAAAAAAGGAACATTAAACATGAATGCAGACGCACTATCAAGAATTCCTGCAATACAACTTCATGCCATTCAAAAATCAGATCCAGATGCTAGATTAACATCTTCAGATGAAGAATTTCATAAAAAATTAGGATTAATGCTAAAAGATACACCATTATGTAATGATGAAATCATAGCAAAATGCTTTACAGATTCTAGAGTATATCTTCCTAAACCAGGGCCGCAACTAGAACCCTCGGCGCCCAAGGCAAGTCCAAATTTTGGCGCCCCTCCACCGCGGAAATATAAGCAGACATTTTTCAGATTTGTATGTACGGTACATGTAAACAAATACAAAACAGACTGCACTGGTTCTCCACGAGTCTTCCTAGCTCGTGTCAAAAAATGCGCACTGAGTGCATACATAATTGCACTAGATTTCAAACGGAAAATAAAAACTGATTGTGCAGTCAAATGGAATGTAAAAACTGCATTGACTGCACCTGCGTGCAAAAAATGTAAAACGCCATTATTTTATCACGAACAGTTTTGGAACGAGTTCTCCAGACTGTCTAGGTACGATTTTTTAGGACAGTGCGCGACGCCGCAAAACTCACAACGTAAACATCGGCAGAATCTGTTCAGCCAATGACATTTGTTCAGCACGGCGTACACCAGTTCTCTGACGTTGTACGTCACGGTCACCTGCGCAAAGCCAACAAACCTGTCTATATCATTAGCTGTTTTCGGGTGCTACCCTTTGAGCGCTCCCGAGTTACTCCGAAGTACTCCAGCTACAGTTTGACCCGTTCGGTTTTAAGCGTTCGAGTGCAAAACGCATGGAGTGTGA